GGAGGGGTGAGGAGGTTGCGAGGGCCTTGATCGCGACGAGCGAGGAGGCGCAGGCGGCGTCGACGACGCAGTTCATCCCGTCCAGGTTGAAGACGTTGGAGCAGCGGCCCGCGGTCACGTTGCCGAGGAAGCCGGGGAACGAGTCGAGCCGCCACTCGGGGAAGTGCGCCTTGTACTTGGCCACCGCCGCCTGGCGAGAGAGGCGGAGGAGGCGAGGGCTGGGGGCGAGGGGGCGGCGGCGAGGGCGGCGGTGGCGAGGGCGGCGGTGGCGAGGTGGGTGGGGGTGAGGGCGGCGGCGGCGAGGGTAGTGGCGAGTGTGGGGGCGGGCTGGGTGGCCGGGGGGTGGGGATGGCGAGGAGAGGGTGGCGGGGAGAGAGGAGAGAAGTGCGAGAGGAGAAGGAGAGGGGCGGAGGGGAGGAGGCTGCTGCCACCTGCACGTCCTCCTCCGGCATGCCGATCTTGCGGAGCACCTTCTCGACGACGACGTAGTTGAGGCGGGAGTAGAACTCGTTGGACGACTTCTGGCCGCCGCCGATGCCGAGCACGCAGCCGATGTTCTTGCGCACGTTGCCCGACGGGTTGATGCCCGCGTCCTCGAGTGCCTCCTTGACCTGCGCGCGCGGCCGAGTGGCTCGTGTGTGGGGAGGCCGGGCGGCGGGTGGGCGGGTGTGCCGGGAGGTGACGGAGGGGGTGGCAGCGGGCGAGGAGGTTGGGGCGAGGGAGGCGGCGAAGGCGGCGAAGGTGATGGGGCGAAGGGCGCGGAGAAGAGGGAAGAGGGGGAGGCGGAGCAGGCGCCACTCGGCAGCGGGCCGGTGGCGTCTTATCTTTTCTGCGGCGCCGGCGGCGCCCGGCGAGGGCGGCGGCGCCGGCGGTGGACCGGGCGGCGTGGCGGCGGGGCGAGGGCGGCGGCGGCCGGAGGCGGCGACGGCGGCGGCAGGTGTGGAGGTGGTGTGTGGGCGCACCTTGAGAAGCGAGAGCGTCTGGTTTGCGTCCGTGTCCTCAAGCTGCAGCATGTTGAGGTTGAACTCGCGCGGCTCGAAGGTGTAGTTGGGGATGAAGCCGCCGCGCGTACAGTAGATCTTGTCCGTCGGGTTCGAGTCGACCGACCCTGAGTAGTAGGCAGTCACGTCGACCCGGTCGTTTGGCAGGTCGCGGATGTTGTCGATGCCAGCCTGGATCATCTCCCAGGCCTCGTTGACGTTCTCGCCGCCCGGGAGAATGCACGAGTACCCGACGATAGCCACGCGCTCTCCTCCCTGTGAAGGGGACTCTCCACTCGAAGATGAGACGTCGCAACGCAAGCCAGAGGCCGAGGCCGTCGTCCAGCTGCTGGCATCCGCAGAGTCGGCGTCGAGCGACTTCTGCAGCGAAGAAAAGAGCTCGGCCTTGGCCGACTCCTTGCGCGCAGCCGCGAGCTCTTCCGAGCTGCGTAGCATGCTGTCGAAGTTGTTCGAGGTGCCCCGGAATTGCCGACACCGAATGAGCACGCGGGCTGGCCTTGACACAAACTTGAATTCTTTTTCATCCTTAGCTCCTTGGGCTCGGCGGGTTGTGACAAAACAAACGCCCTTTACAAGGCCCACCACCGGCGCCCCCACGACGGCGTCCTTCCTCGCCGCCTGGGCGGACGCGATGCGCGCCCCGGCCAACGAAATCGCGGGTTCCGCTTCTTTTTTTGCACTCATCAGAACGGCACGGCACACACACACTCAGAACGGCCGACGGCTTGTTGCTCGAAGATCAGGATAAGGCTGGCGAAACGCGAGCCGCGCCGGCGGCTAGCTCGGGGACATAGGGAAAGTGCGAGATGCCGAGATCGACCGACAGACCCATTGCGGCTTCTAGGTCCAGAGAGAGACGGGGCCGCCATTTGTGTTGACTCAGTCGTCCGAATTCTTCTCAAAGACCGCAGGCGTGCCGCCCCGCCTGTCTGGTATAGCCCCAGCCGACTCCGCGTGAACTCTCGAGCGATCTCGAGTTGCGGAGCTCCCTGCTGCGTACGAACTCTGTTCACACCGAGTAGCTGGGAGTGGCTGCGGCTATAGCAGACAGCCGCCCCGCTGCTTCCATTGACTGAGAGAGACATGCCTGCCCACGATGGCTCAACACACACAAACGTCAAGTCTCAAGCTCTCCATCCACAAGAGGAGAGGACACGATTCGACAGAGAAAATAGCACCCAGAAGTGCACTCCACAGGACCCTCACGCCTGCACGGCGCGCTGCCATTCCACAGAAGACCCTCACGCCTGCGCGGCGCGGCACCGTGCATTGAGCTCGTCAGAGTACTTTTGCGCCGATGCTGAGTCGGCCATCTGCCACATCAAGTGCAACGGGACGTCCGCGCCACCTCGCGCCGCCTTCACACGGCTCTCGTGCTCCATGTACGAGAGGGCCAACTCGCGCGCGTCAGCCAGCCGCCAGCCACGGGCTCGAGCCTGAAAGCACAGTTCTTTCGCGGCCTTCGTCAGGCCCTCGCACAGTATACTCGCGCTGGCCGTCAGAGGCCAGCCTTCGCGGCCCGGGTCGAGCAACTCCGTAGCGACGACCAGTCGAAGCTCCGCGCCCGGCATCGCCGCGAGCACATGCGCGCCGGTTTTCCGACCCAACTTTGCGCTCCACCCGCCGTTGCGCTCGTGCAGCTCGATGCGCTCGACGCGCGAGTCTGACAGCAGCACCTGTCGCTGCCACTCCGCCTGCTTCGGGAGATACACCCGCCGCGTCGGCAGGGACGTCTCCGCCTCGTCGGCCAGAGGTGTCCAGACCTCCTCTGAGCCCTTGACGCTCAAGCGGCGCCCGGTGTTTAGCCAGGGCGCCACGGCCCGCGTCTCTGGCTTGGCTGGGGCGGGTATGGCCGCTGCCGCCAGCCGCTTCGCCGTCTCGACGTCGGGCCGATTGATCACCACCACAAAGTTGTCGTTGCAGACGACGTCAACGTCAGCGATCGACAAGGCAGGGGGCCCCGAGCCGCCGCCCGGGACGCTGAAGCTGAGGCTAGGCCTCGGGCTGGAGAAGACGTGCGGCTGAATCTCCGCGAACCGCGAGGGCCCGTAACGCCACTGGAGGAAGCCACCCCGCAGCAGCCCGGGCGCCGCCGGCACCGCTGGGAGATCGATCGAGGTGCGCGTCACCTCGATCGGGGCCTTTGCGCGGCTGGAGCTGGAACCGGAGGACGGCCGTGGGACAGGCGGCGGCGGCTCGATGACAGGCGCCGCCGGCAGCTGCTTGCGCTTGCGCGACACGCTAACCGGAGGCGGCCGCGGTGCCGGTGGCCGCGCAAGCGGCGTGAGCGACGCCTGATTCTCGCTCGAGCCGCCCAGGGTGAGGACCTGCGAATGCGCGGGCGGCGAGGCGCCAGTCATCATGGGCAGTTCTCCTTCAGCGCGCCGTGAGCGGAGCGCTCTAGGGCTCTGGGTGCCCTCACCAGAGGAGAAGTGATCACCGACAAGTCCAGCAGCGTCATGTCACAGACTGGCCACTCCTTGCCGCCGAACCGAGCGATGAAGAACGCGTACTCGCCGATGTTGCGGACGGTGAGCTTCGCAGCGCGGTTGCCGATGAGAAACAGCAGAGCAGCACCTCCCCACGGCACATCGTGGTGCTCGAGCGTGGCGCGCCCCTCATCAAGCTGCTGCTTCAGCGTCTTCACTGCAGTGGTTCCGGTCGACATTTCGGCCTGCAGCTCTGCGAAAGCCTCGGCTGACGCGACGACGAGCAGTCGCGTCGATTCGCGAGGCTCGTCGGCGGTCAAGAGCCGCCGCACACTGCCAGCCGCCGTCACAGAGAATTCGATGGTCGAGCGGTCCGCCATGGTTGCCTTCGCTCGGAGAGAAGAAAAGAAAAAAGTTTTTGCACGGACGACGACACACCACACACAGGTAGGTGTGGCCCTGTGGGTGAAGTCTGGAGCTTCCGGGGTGAACTCTGGACTGCCGCCCGCCACACAGGGTAACGCCCTCTGCCTCTTCGCCCGCCCTCTGCCGCCTCCGCTCTCCTCGCACGCGCTGTCGGCGCCGAGACCGGCCGCCGCTCACCCCCTCGTGTGCCACCGCAGGGACGACACCCTCGCGCGACGTCTTGAGCTGGTGCGCGTCGCGCTCGGTCGCCGCGTGCCCGCTGGCCACCGATCGCCGCCGCTCACTGCCGTCTCCTCTCCCAACCCCACCCCGCCCTGCCCTCAGAGCGTGTCTCCGCCACTCGCCTCGATCTCCAGAGGCGCGCCCCCACCCCCGTTCCACCCCGCTCGCCACTCAGAGACGCGTGTCGCGGTCGGCGCCCGTCGTGCGCGTGCCGCGCCACCCCCCACCTCCCCCCCCTCCCCCCCTCACACATCCATCCGCACGCAGAGCATGCCAGCGACCGCGACCGCCGTCGTGCCATACGTCCGCGCCGAGTTTGCCCCCGACGATGGAGCCGACGAGTTTGTGGATGTGGACCTGGACGTCGGTCTGACGCCCGAGGATGAGGAAGAGCTGGTCCTCGAGGTCAACGAGCCGGGCGGCCAGAACAAGAAGATCATCCAGACGGATCGCCTCATCATCCAGGGCCAGCGCTACATCCGCACCTTCCTCGAGGCCGAGGGCAAGACGGTGGAGGCGTGGACAGAGCGCGTCGCTCAGTTGGCGGACGGGCGTGGATGGACGAGCAACCACGTACAAGAGGAGCTCAAGCGCATGCTTCTGAAGTGGAAGGAGCAGGTGTGCGAGCGCTGCTGCGTCGCGAGAGTCGACACGAGAGCCCAACCCCCACCCACTTCCCAACACGAACTCGTCATCACACCCCCCGTCCGTCAGGGATGGATCCGCAAGGACGAGGAGGGCAAGACCAAGGGTAAGACGTACCCAATCAACGAGACGAACCTGCGCGCACTCCGCTCCGGCTTCCAGGCGGAGCACGCTCCCCCTCTCCGCCTCGCGCGTGGCGTTCACTCCTCTCCTCCACCCTAGGCGATTTTGACGCAGCCTCCGACCAAGTTCCTCCGGCTCGGTAAAGACGGATACTTCAACAAGCTCCCCGTCTACCAGGAGCTGTGGGAGTCGTGCAAGGGCAAGGTCTCCGAGGAGCGGATCGCGGCGGGCACCGCGCAGATCTCCTCCAGCGGCACGCTCACGCTCACGATGCAAGAGATCAAGATCATGCTCGCCAAGTGCATCGAGCTCGCCGACGAGTGCGCCTCGGGGAAGCGCAGGGGCAATCCCTACAAGTGGCTGCAGTGCCACACGCTGCTCATCGCGTCCACCACCCTCGGCGGTCGCTCGCACAACCTGGTCGACACCGTGAAGGGCCAGGCCAAGGCCGAGGAGTGGGGCGTCGGCGAGGACGGCTCGCCGATGTGGCAGTCGCCCGACGCAGACGGCGTCACCGGCTTCTCCCCGGAGATCATCACGCTCACCAACGTGTACATCAAGGGCGGCGGCGCGGCGACCTTCTGCTTCATGAACCACAAGCTGCCGGAGCTCGACCTGCTCTGCTCGCTCGGCTTCAAGCTCTTCTACCAGCACTCGGCCGCGACCCACGGCGACTCTGTCGTCCCGCCCACCTCCTCCAACTGGATGGATGGCAGCGTCCGCGAGGGCGGGCCGGGACACTTCTGCCCTTTCTTCCTCTCACACCTCGACCGAGGCAGCTGGAACAAGCCCCTCTCCTCCGCCAGCGGCCGCTCCGACGACATCGGAAAGCTGGCCGACGATCTCAACATCAACGTCGGCCAGAGCGGCAAGAAGGACCTCCGCCTGGGCGTCCTCTACTGCTTCCGCCAGTTTGGCACGCAGAGCGGGTCCTCGAACACGGGCCACACGGAGGAGACCGCCGCGGCTGCCAACCTGCAGTCCGACGGCACGAAGCGCGACGGGCACTACGCGCACAAGCGCTTCGACGTGCTCGCTCTGCGCGGCGGCCGCCCGTCCGCGGCGGCGTGCAAGGAGGGTCCCTCCGCGAGCGACCGGGTCCTGCACTCGCAGCTGAAGCCCGAGACCCGCAAGATCCTTGGCGAGATGCTCGGGTGGGCGCTCTCGCAGAAGTACCTCAAGGAACGCGCCGCCGCCCTCGCGTACACCGACAAGATCAAAGTCGGGTCTCGCGAATACGCCCTCAAGAAGGTGCGTCCCACTCCCGCACACCTCCACACATTCTCCACTCTGACCCCCCCCCCCCCCCCTCTCCTCCCCCCTACATGTAAGAGCTACGAGGCCAACGACCTCCTCTTGTTTAACTTCATCGTCCTCTGCCTCGCACGGGGACGGGGCAAGAACCGTCTCATCGACACGACCGAGTCGGGCGCGTCGCTCTTTTCCGTCTCCCCGCTGGGGTAACCTAAGAGACTGTCTGTCTACGATTGGCGAGTCCAAATCGTCATACTACCTAACTAGCGCCTTGACAAGGTTCGTGTGTCTCCTCGACCTTGTGGTTACTGTAGAGGAGTACAAGCTTGATGGCAAGCAGCCGTGGCCGAATTTCAAGGACGATTTCATATCTCAGGCGTGTGGGCCATTCTCCACAGAGAAGATCGAATATATTCCAGACTGGATGACGCAACGCCGCAACCCAGAAATGCTGAGCAAACTCATCGGTAGGCGTCACATCAAATCATGAATGCGCACCCTCTGCATACTGCCTGCACGTAGGCTCGCGCCGCGTGTACTGCAGGGCGACACAGCACACACAAGCAGCCAGGGTCTTGAACTGGCAGTCACTTAGGATCAGGCGTTTGCCCAGTCAATGACTAGGCCATACACCCTGTCCGCGTCCTCCCAGCCCTCGCGCCGGCCGTGCGTCTCCTCAAAGTGGCCAGGCGTGCAGACGGAGAACAACTGCAGCACCAGCTCGCCCTCGCCACCCAGGCGCAGCAACACGACAAACTCCTTGACGCCATCCTTGTCTACGCGCGTCCAGCACAGCCGGTCGCCACCGACGTTGTCGCCGACGCAGATGGACTCGCGCGCCCCGCCGGCCTGTGGAAGCAAGCCGCCGGCCCACTCGTCGGTGCCGGCATGCAGGCGGCTGCCGAGGTCGTTGTACTCATTGAACCTGAACCTGCGCAGCAGTGCATCCCGAAGGCGCACCGCGAGCTTATGCTCGCGTGCGTCCTTCGCGAGACCCATAAACGGGACTGGGCGGAGCAACCGCGCCGGCGCCTCCGCCTCCGCCTCGCTCATGGTCCAACTTGAACAACTTGTGCGCCCCCCTGCCGCAGCGCCCGCGCGGCGCGCGCCACTGAAGCTTCCAAGAAAGGTCAGCACGCAAGTTTTGGAAGGTTTGGACGGCGATCGCCGTCAGCCGCACGGGCGATACACATGCGTTCCTCTTTGACAGGCTGTGACCCAGAGGTCCTGGGCGGTCCAGAGGCGTCCTAGACATATTTAGTACACGACCTATTTGTTTTTATCTGTGGCGGGCGAAACTTGCGGCGCGGGCGCAACGCGGGCGCTGCGGCGGGGGTTTTTGGCTGAAAAGTATGGGTTCGAGAGCCAGTACACGCGGCGCGAGCCTACGTGCAGGCAGTATGCAGCCCGTAGGGCGCGACGTCTTTACCGTGACACCCCAAGTCTTTGGTACGACGTCGGAACAGCTGCTCCACGGGACGAGCTAAAGGTAGCCAGGGCCTCCGAGTCCGCCTTGGCCAGTCGGTGGCGGCGGTCCGCCTTGGCCAGTCGGTGGCGGCGGCGGCTCGGGCTTGGGTCGCAAACTGACTTCGTCGCGACGAAGTCAGTTTGTGACTCCCCTCACCCTCTGGTGAGACCGGTCACCTGGTCAACCGGTGGGTCGCAAACTGACTTCGAAACTGACTTTTCTTTTTTCACACCTCCATATGGAGGTGTGAATGTGAAAAAAGAAATCAGTTTGCTACCCATTCATAGGGTCATCCACCTGGCTATCAGGTGAGCCGCAAACTGACTTTTTTCCAGACTTCACCCAGACTTCACCCAGACCGTACACAGGCACACCCTAAACCGCGAGACCTCGAGGGGTTGGTGCCTGGAAGTGCGTCCGGAGGCGCTGACTCGCTCAGTGCCTCCGACGCCGCGACTCGCCTCGCTCGGCGAAGCGGTCTGGGGGTGGCTGCCCCTCGAGCAGGCGCGCGTCCTCCCGCCCCGCGCTCCGCGCCGCCCGCCGCGCCCGCGTACTCCTGCGCCGCCTCGCGCGCTGCGCCGACGTCTCCTCGCTCGCGGGCGCGGGCTCACTACGAGCCTCCGCGGCGCCGCAGAGCTGCCACGTTCGATTGCCGCTGCGTCTAACCTGTAGCCTCGCCTCGCTGACGACGCGTAGGGCAGCGGGCGATCCGCTCGCTCGCATCGCAGGCGTGTGCCGCCTGCCTCACACCACTCGCTGCCCGCCCGCCTCAACAGCTACACACCTCTGCAAACCA